TCTCTTCAAAAATATTCTCATAAATTGTCACAGAAATCTTTTATGGTATTATCCCCATGCAACAGGAGAGGAAACTAAGTAACCTAAGTACGGAAGTAACCTAAGGCTACATAAAGTAGTACAAGATTTGCCTTTCTGTCAGTGTCCCTCTTCATAATCTTTTCTGAGTATAAATATAATAAAATTGCCTCATGAAAATAGTTCTTCTCAGTAGTTACTCACAGCCTAAACAAAGCTGTAACCCGTGTTACTTGTTTTCTAATATGTTCAAGTAACTTCAGGTAAAATGTTTTCCAGTCGTATACCACTTCACAGAAACTCTCTTAATATTCAAAAACAAGTCATTTCTGACCGCCAAGCATGTACAACTATATGGAAACAGTATTTCAGTTCAGCACATGGAAAAACCTCCAACTAAAGCAAAAAAAATCCCTGAAAAATTAAGCCATAAGAAAACAAGTTAGGGCCTCCCGGTGGCGCAGTGATTGAGCGCTGGGTTGCAAAGCTGCCCGCAACCTCTGCAGTACCGGTTCGATCCCTGGCTGCTCCCAGGCCACCGGAGGAGGGTCCCACATGGCGCGGCAGACCTCTCCTGTCTCGCCTGCTGCTCCCCTCAGCAGTGTATTTCGTCAAGTCTGCCTGTTCTGTTCCCCGCTCTGGTGAATTCTCTCACCCTCCCACGCTTCTGACTGTACCCACCGCTTGTATAAATAAATAAATAAATAAATAAATCTTTAGGAAAAAAATTGGTTTCCCAATTAGGAAAAGAAAAGAAGTTTAAAAAAAAAAAAAAGAAAAGAAAACAAGTTAGGCTTGATAACAAGGTAAAACCTTAGTTTCATAACCATTTAAATGACTCCCTAGTCAGATGAACAAATCTAAAACCAAGCAAATAAGTAGGGATAAAAATATCAAATTCAGGCCTCCCCGGTGGCGCAGCGGTTGAGCGCTGGGTTGCGAGGCTGCCCGCAGCCTCTGCGGCACCAATTTGATCCCCGGCTGCTCCCCGGCCACCAGCCACCAGAGGAGGGTCCCACATGGCCCTCCCACATGGCGCGCAGACCTCTCCTGCCGCCCGCTGCTCCCCTCAGCAGTATACTTTGGTCCTTCTGCCTGCTCTGCTCCCCACTCTGGCTCTGGTGAATTCTCTCGCCCTCCTGCGCTTCTGACTGTACCCAGTGCTTGTATAAATAAATAAATAAATCTTAAAAAAAAAAAAAGTATTTGTCATCCAAAAAAATAAATTAAAATAAAAATATCAAATTCAACTATACAAAATGGTAAACAAGTATAATTTATTTAAATCAACCAAATACTTAAAAATTTATCTAGAACCAGGTTCTCTCCCAGTGTGTTCTTAGAACAAATGTTCAGCACAATGTTAAAAGTACTCAGGAACAGGCCTCCCCAGTGGCGCAGTGGGTTGTGTGCTGCGCTGTGGAGCTGTCTGCAACCTGTGCAGCGCAGGTCAATTTCAGGCCGGCCGGCAAGATACCCACATGGCGCAGCAGACCTCTCTTGCCTCACCCGCTACTCCTCTCAGCAGTGTCTTTGGTCAGTCTGCATGTTCTGCTCCCTGTTCTGTGGTGAATTCTCTTACCCTCCCATGCCTCTGACCTGTACCCCAGTTATTGTATACATAAATAAATCTTTTTTAAAAAAAAAAGTACTCAGGGAAAAAATTCATTGTCAAGTTGAAAAAGATTGGGCTAAGCCCTTTTTAACAGGTTTCTTTACCTCAGGACCTCTCAGAGACCTTAGTGTGCTCATATGAACTATGAATCTTCAAAAGAAGGATTTGCTATCCTCATGAAGATAACATAAATGTGCAGATTAAATGATTTATCCAAGATCATACAGTAGCTCAGGGCAAATAGAATTAGAACACTGTTTTCCTGATTCCCATTCCAAATGTCATTCTACCTTCCCAGGACTTCCTTATAACTGATATTAAAGAAAAACTTTTCCAAGAACCACATCTACAAAATTATCAGCTGGGAAGCACTAGTGGCTTCTTCAGGGAATATTTACCATCACTCTGCCAAAACAAGTAACAAAACTAAGAAGGTATATCGCAAAGAAACCTTATAAAACAACTAAAGTCTCCCCAAATAAACTAGAACATGTTTATTTACAGATTATACTAATGGTATCCCAAACTTGCATTTTTATAAAAATATTTTCTCTAGAAAATGAGATATAATTTTTTTTCCTATTCAGTACCTGGATGGAACTTAAAGAATGAAGATGTCAACCTAGACTGTGTAGTTCATTAATTAGAACAGGGATGATACCCACTGTCAGAGCCTGACCAGTAACAGGCATACCATACAGATATTCAAAAAGAATTAACAATACATACCTACTATGCCATTAATTAGCTATAGGATCTTGATGAATTTATAATCTGAATCACAGACTCCCTATTGCAAATGAAGTAGTTAGACCAGAATGATTGTCTCATCTACCTTTAAGAATTCATGAATTATATACCAAGTAAAATCTCAAATCCCCTGCACACACAAAGCAAAATCTTTGATTGTGGATAAGTCCACAAGAAAAATTTAAACAAAAAATAACACTTGCAAAGCATTTTACATTCACAAATTCACTTAATATGCCCAATAAACCTGCAAATTAGTCAGACTGGTATTATTACCCCTGTTCTACAGGTAAAAGTAAGGCCCAGAGAAACTGACTAGACCAGAATCACAAAGTTATAAAGTAGGAAACTTGGACTTAAAACTCAAGATTTTAGTGTTGAAATTCCCAATCTTTCCATTATGCTCTGTCCTATACTGATCAGGCTAGGGATGCTGCCCAAATGATGAAAGCATTATCCCCCAGCTTTCAAATATTGATTTAACAGCATTACAGGACACAATGTCTCCCAGACTCTCTCACCATCCTCTTCCATCTTCCCAATGTTAAAGCTCCAATCTTCTATGAAGGAAAGTGACCTTAATGCAACAAATTAATCACATTTTCCCCCTTGGAATCCAAGGTTAAGTAATATCACTATTACAACAGAGGCTGACATTATCAAAGAGTGAAAAAAATCTAATTTATGAATAAAAGTCCTTCACATCAAAAGACATTTCAAATAATATGTTCTCACAATTAAGTACTGTTAAATTCAAAGACCACCTTATACCATTATTATGTTACATTTAAAATGAGAGCTCCACTTTTGGAAACTGTTTACTAGTGGAAATGAGGCAATTTAGACTATTAAACTCTTTTAGGTCTTGTTACATAATACTATACTTCAAAACATGACTTCAAGTGCAATTTCTCTAAACTCTAGTAATGAACAAACCCAACTGTAGGCTCAAATTTGGTGTTAAAATAAACAAACAGAATTTACATCACACACTTCCCCTCCAAGGAATACAACTGAGCAACCTGAAGTATACAGGGTTATGGATATAGATTTCCCCAAGCCTCTTGAAAATCAGCTGAATCTCGTATTTGCTAACTCTATTAATAATTTGTCTTAAAATACTCACATATCCTTGTCAAATTGTTTCTCACTAGCAAAAGCCCATTTCAAGGAGGAGTATGCTTTAATAAACATATACTTACTAAAACTCTCAAGGACATAAAGTTGCATTCCATTCTCTGGCCACAGCACTGTCTATCTGGGTTTTACATGTGAAAACAGTTTAGAGTACGATTCCAGTGAGTAGCAATTATTAAACAGAACTAGATGTAACACTCAAATGCAATAATGAAGCAGAAGAGTAAAGAAAAAAATTCCCCTTCAAATAGTCAATCACTCTCATCCAAAGTAAATACACACACACAGTAATGGCATGTCTGTTTCATGTCTCGCACAAGAGCATTACTTTCCAGTGCCTTCTGTACACTTCAGTAAGTTTCAGAAGCTTTAAAAAAAAAAAATTTCGGAAACTTAACTGAAGTTTAGCGTTCAAATTACTAACTCAACATTTCCCTAGACTCAAGAGGTCCCATACCTGAAAAGAACTGACCGTGAACACAGTGAGAACTGGGAGAAAACCAAAGCCACGAGAAGCTAGTGCATCAATCAGCATTTCAACTCCCCTCCAGCCAAGGCTCGAGAGCATGAGACTCGGCGCCCACACCACACCACCCCACGGGGCAGAGCTGCAGAAAATCCTGCGGGCCAGTCAGAAAACCTGAGTGAACAATGCAAAGGTCCCAGCGGCTGTGACAGCATCGCAGGCCACTTCAAAAAAAATAAAGAAAAAAAAACACGCCAAAGGTCCCTCGATTCTATGAGGCTCCCCACGCAGAGGCTCAGAGACCGGCCTGCGTTATTAACCAAGAGGCCAAGCCCCTGTGCTCAGGGGTGCGCAGCAAATGCTAACTTGGGTCCCAGGACCGGCTCCTCTTGACACAGGCTGACTTTCCTGCTTCGTGCCAGCTGTACACTTGCACGCTGCGAAAACAGAGGCGAGTCCTGAAAGCCGGGGGGCCACGTTTCTCTTTGATTCTGGGCTGAAGTGCAGGCGATTCCCAGAACCCCGCAGTCCCCTTCGACTGCGCCCTCACCCAGCTCAGGGCAGCCAGAGGGAAGCCCACTCGGAATTGTCAGCAGGCCTGGAGCGGGAGTCAGCGGGCTCTGGAAGTTCACCTCAGCCCCCCAGCTCAGGCGGGGGCTTCGCGGGACAGCTCGGCCGCGGCGAGCGCACCTTCCCCAAGTCAAAATCCATACAAAGACCCAATGCGCCCGGGCAGGTAGAGGCGCACGGACCCCCCGTCACCCCTACGGAACCGGGGTTCCGGGGGGCGGCGAGACCAGCCGCCCGGATGGCGGCCCCGAGGTGTCCAGACAAGGTCGGGGACACGAGGCGGGGGTCTGCGCGGTGGCCGGCGGGGCGCGCAGCCCCTTCTCGGGGCCCCTTCTTCCTCCGGCCCCGCGACCAGGCCTCTCCTCGCTCCTCTTCCTCCCCTCCCCCCCCGGGGCAACCCCCCCCCCATCCCACCAACTTTCCCGACCCCCCGACGCTCCCCACCTCTCAGGAGCACACAGAAACTGCAGGCCAGGAGGCTCCTCAGCACGGCCCCCATCTTCCCGTCTCGCGCTCTCTTCTCTCACCGGCGAGGGGCGGCCCGACGAGGGGGAGGCGAGGAGCCGGGGCGGCCGCCGCAGCGGCGGGTCTGCGCGCTCATGCTGCCCGGGTTCCCGGAGAGAGAAGAAAGAAAGGGGCACGTCAGGGCTCCGCGCGCGCCGCCGCCGCCCTCTCTACCGCGCCGCTCGGCCCGCGGCTCGCGCGACGCCAGCGTCTGCTGCTTCCATCCCGCCGCCTCCTCCCCCGGCGCCCCGCTTCCCCCGCGCGGCGCCTCATTCAGCCTCTTCCCCTCACGCAGCGGCGCAGGGATACGCCGCCGCCGCCGCCGCCGCCACGGGTCGTCGCGAAGGTCTCCCTGCGCGCGGCCGAGCCCCCTCCCGCGGCGCCGGCCCGCGCGCCCTGAGGCAGGGGAACTGGGGGGTCGGGGTACGGCCACGGCGCGGAGACCCCGTGGGATTGGCCGCGCGAGCGGCGGCCAGCGAGGGGGGGAACGCCGCGCGGAGCCGCATTCCGATGGGATTCTTTCACCGGCCGGCCGCGTCGGCCCTCCCCGCGGAGGGCGTGAAGTGACGTCGAACAACATCGACACCGGCGTGGTCGGGACTACTTTCTGCGGCTCGGCCCGGCCGCCGCCTGCGCCGCTCTTTGTGCGGCCGGCGGCCGAGCCGGGTGGAGCTCCCGGGCCGCGCCGGTGCCGCCCGGGCCCGGGGAGGCGCGGGGGCGGCGGGCCCGGCGGCGGAGCTGCGAGGCCGCGTCCCGAGCGCCCGGCAGGGCCCGACCCCGCGTGCTGAGCCCAATTTCGCGGGTGGACTTTGGTTTAGGCTTTTTATTTATTTTTTGTGTTAAGAAAATCAAAGCCCAAGCTGCTCACACCCGCCTTCAACGTGGCTCTGGGGAAGCTGCTCCAACGCCAGCTCAGACTGAGATTTTTAGGTTCTCTCGGTTTCCCGGAACCACCGACTGTCCCCCCAGTATGAGGTCCGAGAAGTAAAGATTTTAAGCTGGCAGATAAAAATTCCACGACATACGCATCAGCACCTAAGACAGAGCAAGGGGCTAAGTGGGCACGATGGTATTTGGGGTCTTACAAGTTGCGTTGAGTAATGAATGTTTGGCATATTTTCACGGTCAGTTCTCAGCCTGAGGAGGAAAACATTCCCTGGATTTTCACTCCGATTTTGCACAGCTTCTGCTGCTCCCGGTGCGTTTCAGGACGCGCCCTGAAATCTGGTGGCAGCTTCAGGAGAGTTGGCCATAATGAAGCCATCGGGTGCATTGTGCCCAGCTGTCACACGCCTTTACCTGGGGACAGGTGGGCGAGCAAGCGGTGCTCCTGCAATGTCACTAACATCTCAGTGACTTTGGAGTATCAGCGAGTACTTGCACACGATACCAGGTTTGACACCCCAAACTACCCTGGAAGAAAGCAGGTTATTAGAAGGCATGCACAGAGAAGGCAGTGAGGATCTGAGTTCAATGACTTACCAAAGGCCACTCAAGTAGTGAATAACAGGACCCAAACTCCAGCCAGAACTTCTGACTTCAGACCCTGCTCCTTGCAATAAATATAGGCTGGGCCCTCCCTGGTGGCGCAAGGGGTTGAGCACAGCACTATGAAGCAATCCACAGCCACTGCAGCACGAGTTCGATCCCTGGCTGGCCAGGGAGCTACCCACATGGCACAGCAGACCTCTCCTGCCACGCCTGCTGCTTCCCTCAGCAGTGTGTTTCAGTCAGTCTGCCTGTTCTGTTCCCGACTCTGTCTCTGGTGAATCCTCTCACGCACACACCCCAACTCTGGCCTGTACCCCAGCTCTTGTATGCATAAATAAACAAATCTTTAAAAATAATAAGAAAGAAAGAAAGAAAGAAATGCAGGCTGAACCAGGCATGCAGTCATAAGTTGACCAAGGGTGCAAGGAGCCAAGTCACTTTTTCTAATTCCACCTGAGAAAGTCTAACTGTCAGGAGGCTGAAAGTTTTGTCTTCTGGCTTCTTCAAAACAGAAAATAGAACCAAGTTTCGCAGCCTAGAAAATATATTACTGTGAAAATGGTGGAAGCAATGAGCTTTGGAATGAGAGGTGGCTGTGGATCCAAACCAGACCACTTACTAATTGTGTGGCTTTGGGCATGGTATTTAAATACACTGCACCTCAGTTTCCTCATCTATGAAATCGTAGTATCTCCTCAGACTTTGGTAGGGATTAAATTAAATAATATTTATAAACTGCTCGGAGTACCTATATAATAGGTACTCAATTAATGACCATTAATTGAGTCGACTCCTTCAAGGTAACTGACATCACAGTAAGTTTGAAATCCTTGGAAAATAATATGTGAGAGAAAAAAAAGTACATGCTCAGAATGTTCATTGCAAGATCATTTGTAATTGGAAATAGATAAACATGAAGCTGAGGAAATTAACCTTCTGGCCCTTTCACATTCACTTTTGCCTTTTCCAAAGTCCAGGGAGGGGCCCTGGCTATGTGTCCGCATGATCCACTTGCAAAAGTAAGATAATTTTCTATTTCTGAAACCATTCTTCTAAATTGTATTAACTTCAAGTCCCACAAAAACTGGATCTGTTCCTATTTATAATAGAAAAACTGACTACAACCTAAGGCTATTAACCTAAGCAGGGGAATGAGATATGATATGAAAAGTGATCATTTGAAGGACAAAACAAGACTTTTGGAAGATATTTGTAGTTAAATGTGTCATTTAAAAATGTGAGAGTGCAAGTACATTTTAATAACAATGATAAATTATACATATATAAACAGCTCTATAAATAAAATGTAGAGGGCCTCCCCGGTGGCACAGCGGTTGAGCGCTGGGTTGCGAAGCTGCCCGCAACCTCTGCAGCGCCGGTTCGATCCCTGGCTGCTCCCCGGCCACCGGAGGAGGGTCCCACATGGCGCGCAGACCTCTCCTGCCGCCCGCTGCTCCCCTCAGCAGTGTACTTCAGTCCTTCTGCCTGCTCTGCTCCCCGCTCTGGCTCTGGTGAATTCTCTCACCCTCCCGCGCTTCTGACTGTACCCCAGTGCTTGTATAAATAAATAAAATAAATAAATAAATAAAAATAAATAAATAAATCTTTAAAAAAAATTAAAAAATAAAATAAAATGTAGAATTACTATATTGCACTCAGGTTGCAGTCAGTTTTTGGTTTTTTTTGAAAGATTTATTTATTTTTATACAAAAGCTGAGGTACAGGCCAGAGGTATAGGAAGGTGAGAAGACCCACCAGAGGCAAAGCAGGGAGCAGAACAGGCAGACGATAGAAATACACTGCCGAGGGGAGCAGCGGGTGCGACAGGAGAGGTCTGCTGCGCCATGTGGAATTCTTACCGGCCGGCTGGGATTGAACTGGCACTGTAGAAGCTGCAGAGAGCTTCACAACACGTTGTTCAACCCTCTACACCACCAGGGAGGCCCTGCAGTCAGTTTTTCTATTATAAATAGGAACAGATCCAGTTTTTGTGGGACTTGAAATTAATGCAATTTAGAGAAATGTTTTCAGAAATAGAAAATTATCTTACTTTTGCAAATGGACCATGTGGACACATAGTTAGGGCTCCTCCCCGGACTTTTGAAAAGGCAAAGGGATCCAGCAATTCCACTTCTGAGTATTTAGCAAAAGGCAACAAAATACTAGCTTTAAAAGACATCCACACCTCCCTTCCATGTTCATTGAAGCATTATTTGCAATAGCAAAGACATGGGAGTAACCTAAGTGTCCATCAGTGGATAAACAGATAAAGAAAATGTGGTGTATGTATGTGTATACACCATCGAATATATTGAAATATTATTCAGCCAGATTTAGATTATCTCACTATTTGTGACGACATGGATGGAAGGTAAGAGCATTACGCTGAGTGAAATAAGTCAGAGAAACACAAATACCATGTGACCTCACTAATATGTGACAAATAAACAAAAACTGAACTCACAGGCACAGAGAATAGACTGTCGTTTCAAGGGATCAGGCTGTAAAATGGGGGACAGGGGACCAAAAGGTTCAAATGTCCAGTTACAAAATAGAACAATCTTGGGTGTGTAATGTACAGGCTGGTGGCTATAGTTAATAATACTGTATGACATATTTGAAAGTTGCTAAGAGAAGAAATCTTCAAAATCTCATCATAAGCAAAAAAATAAAATCTGTAGCTTGAAGACTGATGTTAACTAGACTTAACTGTGATAATCATTTCACAATGTATACAAAAAATTGATCATTGTCTTGTACTCCTTACAGTGATACGCTACATGTCAATTACATCTAACTGAAAAGGTAAAATAAAACCATAAACATACATATATAAGCAATATGATATAGCATACATCAAATATTTGAGCAAAGATAAAAAATAAAGTACTGGGCCTCCCTGGTGGCGCAGCGGTTGAGCGCTGGGTTGCGAAGCTGCCCGCAGCCTCTGCAGGCCAGTTCGATCCCCGGCTGCTCCCCGGCCACCAGAGGAGGGTCCCACATGGTGCGCAGACCTCTCCTGCCACCCACTGCTTCCCTCAGCAGTGTACCTTGGTCCTTCTGCCTGCTCTGCTCCCCGCTCTGGCTCTGGTGAATTCTCTCACCCTCCCGCGCTTCTGACTGTACCCAGTGCTTGTATAAATAAACAAATAAATCTTTAAAAAATAAATAAATAAATAATAAAAAATAAATGCACTAAAACAAGCATTAGGATGGTGAAATAAACCCTAACTAATAAAATCATTAAAATGCTGAAATTGCCATAGTGCAAGTGTGTACTCTATTTACAAGGAACTTTAGTGCAGAAGTGCTTAGGTCAGCCTGAACAATTTAAGAAGGAAATAACCCTAGAGCTGAGGCTTGAAACTTAAGTCAGAGTTTGTTAGGTCAACAAGACTGACAAGGAATTCCAAGCAGAAGCACAGCAGGTGCAAAGGCACTGAATTATTAGAGAGCTTGGCATGTTGGGGATTTGGAAGTAGATCCATGTAACTGAAGCATAGGGTGCTTATAGAGAATGTCAGGAAATAAGGCAAGACTATTAAGTAGGTATTGGGTAATAAAGAGCTTTCTAGGCCCGGCTAAATAATAGCATGTGGACAATGGAGACATTGTAGACATTGAAAGATTTTGCTCAAGGTAAAGAATTGATTTGCATGTTAAATAATTTCTCTGGCTGCAGTGTAGATAACAGAAAGGAGGCAAAGCAAAACTTGGGCTTTTAGGGGAAGATTTCCGCGTCGTTTGTAACTGCAGATGTTGCAGGAAGAATAAGAAGTAGACTGTAGAGATGTAATCGAATGGCTGTAATCTCATGA